ACCTTCATTCAAAATGTGTAACCTGCTGTAAGATGTCATATCCTTGTATCAAGAAAATAGTAACGTCCTTTTTCTACCAAATCTCAATACTTATCAGGAAAAGGAAACTTTGTATTATTTTCAGCTGTGACCTTATATGAGGCAAAAACAATAGTATCCAATCCAGTCTCCTGCAGACATTGCGTAAGAAGTTTAAAAGTAAAGTGTATAGCATAATTTCGATATATTTGCGTCTCAATGAGTTTCAATGCTCTTACTTGGCTGCTTCGGTAGATTGAATTCACTGCTTTAATTTGGTTGCGCATATCATGTTCCCTCTTTTATGTGCAGTGTTTTGGAGAATTCGCCCGATTAGTGACTCGCGATACTGATGAGCAACTGATTTTTTGCTGATTTGTTTATGGGTTTTATTGTTCCCTTATATATGACTGAAGCATATAAACATAACTCTTAATGAGCAACGTAAATATCTTATTATCTTAAAAGATAAATCAACAGGTGATGTTCAGAATAGATTGGGCATAAACAAAAGAGAGCCAAGTACCCTGATAAATGTCTTTAATGCTCATCAAATGTCAAGGACAGATAGAGGGGTCGCAAATAAACAGACACTAGTGGATAGTTATCATAACCCATATAACAGATAAATTTCTGACAGTGAAATATATATATATATATATATATATATATATATATATATATATATATATATATATATATATATATATATGCCATTAAATATTTTCCGAATAAACAAAATGTATGGATTGTTTGTACACTTAGTGATCCAACAAAGATGAAGTCTCACATACAGTCGTAAGACTTGCTGTTCCATAAACTATTTATACTTTCCAAAACTATGTGTTTGAGAACCATTTCTTAAAATGGAATTTCGCAGGACGATTTATTCTGTCTTTGACTTTTTCAATTTCAGATGTAGCGGTCTTTAAGGGGTTATCAGTTGTACTTACTTTAAAAAGCCCTCTAATATGACTGCTATGCACTCTGTTGTATATCACCAAACATAATATGGTTAGAAATAAATTTAAATTATTCTTTTTTAATTTGGTATATATATATATATGTATATATATATATATATATGTATATATATATATATATATATATATATATATATATATATATATATATATATATATATATATATATATATATATATATATATATATATATATGTATATATATGTATATATATATATATATATATATATATATATATATATATATATATATATATATATATATATATATATATATATATATATATATATATATATATATATATATATATGTATATATATATATATATATGTATATATATATATATATATATATATATATATATATATATATATATATATATATGAACTAACATCAAATGGTTAACACATTTAGATTATTTTAATCAATAAGTGTTTACAATCATATTCTGAGAGGCAATGAGATTTTTTATTTCCAGAGTACTCAGTAGGCTCTGAAATATTCCACTCAAGATATATTTAAGATTATTTCAACATTTTTCAAAGAGGTGATTGAAATATTGGATGAATTTGAAATAAAAATAAACACATCGAGTATCACTGGATAATGTGCAACTTTTTGACAATCTAGGAAATATGATAGTGTTGATAACGCTAGATATGACACAAAATAAGATGCAATATAATACAAATATGTATTAGTCGATTCAAAATATGAAAAAGATAAATAAAATATTTTAGAACATTACAAAATGAAAGGAGGAAATGATTTGACGTGTTATCAAACCATTTTAATGACAATAGTTTCACATGTCACATTACTATTTATATGAATCCATTGGATATAAAACAAGAGGAAACTTGTAAGGAAGATACTGATGAGTCCATTTGGATATTATAGAATATCTGCATATTTGAATTCCCAACTTGATCGAAACGTGGTATTTTTAACTCTAAAGCAAATATTGTTAAATGGTAGCTTCAATTTGCCAATGGAATCAGGCATTTGGGAAATAAGGTAATTTACAAAATGAAGCAAATACAATCATAAGGAGAAATATACTCTATAAAATATAGTTACCTGTTTTATAAAAACAACTATAGCATCACAAATTTGTAAAGATTTTGAGGGCTGAACTAATGAAGGGTTGACTAATGTATTAGTAAAATTAAAATGATAAACTGACCTGTTTAACCCAGCATAAAATAATATTATAATACGTGAAATGATGTTTCACAGACTGGCCCATCTTCATGATAATGCTGATGTAGAGAACAGTGTAAATAGTAACAATATGACATGCTCTTTGAGTTAATGAAAATAATTAGATTTTAAATGGTGATACATGTCGTAAAACCTGGGAATTAAACAACAAAATAAGGAAGCACCGTATTATGTTCTAATTCGTTTTAGATCAGGTAACAATAATTACTAAATGTAACCTATATTTACTACATTACAAAAAGGTAATAACATACTTGCAAATGTAATAAGTCGACAATAATATAGCAATTTCTTAGATGTGCAATAAATTCGAGCAGGGAAGAAATATCAAGAGACAAAATTGAAAACATTCTAAAACATTTGAGAAATAAATATAATGTGAGACATCATAATTTAATAATGATTTCGTTTTTTATACGACGAATTGGTTATATTTACTTGGTAAAAATATGAAATCATGACGATATTGTCATAGACTTTAAATAATCATCACAGTTGCTAATATGGTAGTTATTACCATTTGTTTAAGAAACGTAACTCTTTTAACGATGTCGGCTTTGATTGGTCAGGAGACAACACCTATAAGTAAGAACAGACTTCATAAAATAAAACATTAAAGGAAATATGACTGCTAAAGAAGATTTCTTTGCACATAATTAAAAGCTAGATTTGATGAAAATTAATCATATTGATTTTTAAGTGAACAATATTCACAGACATACCTGATCAATAACTATAACCGTGTCTATATCATATCCTCTGATTCCACGATATCCTCCAAATCTTCCATAACCTCCGTATCCTCCGAATCTGTCATATCACACCAAACCCTGTACCATAACCTCCCAGAAAACTTCCATAACCAGCTACATATCCACCGTACCCTGCAAATCGACTACCGTATCCTGGTATAATTGCCTCAGCCAAGAGGAAGTTTTCAGCAAGATCAATCATTAACTGCGGCATTTTGACTGCTACTTGATACCTGTGAACAAATAGTTAATTAATTGGATACTTCGAAAATCTTGCGAATCATCAATGAAACAAATTTTTCTCTACTGAATAATATTTTATTGACCAAACACACTCTCACACTAACATGCACTCACATACGCACGCACGCACGCACACACAATCTATATCTCGTCCAAAAAGGAAGAATGGAATGTTTCCTAATCGTAAATAAATTTCTTGTACTCACTACCAGTGAAGACAAATGACTGCAAATGTCAACGTAGATCCAGAAAGGCTGGCAGATTATATGACAGCAGAGGAATTTTTTTATGAAATGACTATAACTAACACTTCGAATGGTATGTTGATCCAATATAATAGATGTTAAGTATGTCCAAGACAATAACCACGCCCAACTCTCTTTCAGCTGATTGCATTCGTCTTTTAATTGGGGAACGTCGTGATCTTCTTGCGACACTAAATCATCGCCTATATTGTCTTATTTTGCACATAATATAGACTTTTAATGAAACAAAATAAATCCTTTCCTACACACTGTTTATACTGGTGTTTTAAAGATACATTGTATATCTTAGTTTCTGTTAAATTCTCTTTATTGTGGTATTTAATTGACATTAACTACATTCAACTCTATCAGTTAGTTGCAATCAACTTCTAATTGGGGAATTTTGTTAATTTCTTTTGCGACAATAATTTGGCGCTCTGCATTATTTGTATGTTGCACATAATGCAGAATTTTAATGAAACGAAATAAATCCGCTTTCTGCACTATTTATACTGGCTATTTGAAAAGTCTTTGAATATCTTAGATAATGTTTAATTTGTATTACTTTGATATGTGATTGATTTGTGTAATATGGGTTATAGAGTATAGGGCTTGCTTTAAAGAAATGCTACCTCCGATTGGTTATTTGCCATCGATGGATTTCAGACGTAAATTGTCCAAAAGAGCTAATATATTTGATAATACATTCATTGCATTTTCAGACGATGGTATGGTCTAGTCTGCCAAGATGTTTCATCAGTGTAATAACTGATAAATATAGTGTACTTTAGACTAAGTCAATTTGATCTTTGAAGCAAATGGGATCAATTATTTTGGTTAGCTGTCTGCTTATATCATGTTCATTTGCCACAAGTACCATATCCAAAGAAATTATAACCCCCAGTGCATGGATGTAACATGGAGGTATGCCAACATTCTCTCCACTGTGCATAATGAGATGCAAAATAAAACAATCACCTTCCATGTGCCAACCTCCAGAACGTTTGTAATATCTGTAGAGACCACTGAGCATTATTTATTGACTCTGTATCCGGATACTGTCTAATTACACCTGTTCCGGATGGCACATTTTCCATTTTTTGACGTCATATAATAACACCTTACTTCATGAAACCTACTTATATAATTTAGGAATCCTTGTTTGCAATTGTTAAACTATGTCTGTGATAGCATACACAATAGAAAACACTGCATTTTACTCCTGTCTGTAAATTGTTCATTCGGTGATCAAACATATTTTTCTAAAAGTGTATGATGTTATTTGTGTGCATTAATGTGTGATTTTGGTGTTTTTACGTAGCTTTAATAATTTTTCAGTCATACCACTACGATATATGCAGTGTGGCAATTTATAGTGATGTATAGCACTGGGCATAATGCTACAAATATGTAGCATGATGTCCCACCCAGTCACATTACCTTGACACCCTTCACATTAGCTTGACAAATTAACCTCTTAATGCGGAGAGCCAAGCGAGGCAGATGTTAATACAATTTTTGTAAGAATTCGGTATGACTCAGTTGAGGATCGAGCTCACAACTTCACGCATCAGAGGCGGACGCTCTAAGCACTAGGCCACCGGAGCGGTGTTATTAAAAACAATAAAAGCAAATAATAATCGTAATCAACTCATCTGTTGTAAACAAAGAATTTAAAACATTTGGACAATGAATAAATATATACTACTAGAAGTGTAATCTAACGTTCGGCAATCGAACCCGGCCACAAGTTATAAAAGGTTCATATTTGCATAATGAATAATGAAACTTGCATTTATATTATCTTAGAAAGCAAACTCGAGGACAATATGAATTTCTAATACCAACACATACTCTTTCAAAAAGTCCGTTCTTAATCCTGTTCTCATAACCGACTTAAGCTTAAAATGTGATATATTATATATATATATATATATATATATATATATATATATATATATATATAATGGTTAAATATTTGATGACGGTTACTAGAATGGTTATATTGGTGTTTAAATGAATTTCGATGCATTTACCTGGCTGCTTCGGTAAAGTGAGTACACTGCTTCCGTTTGGTTTCGGATAGGTTATTCTCTCTTTTATACCAAGTGTTTCAGAGAATTGATTTGGGTCTAAGGTTTGTAGTTTACAAAGTGAATTTTACAGATTATTACAGATTATTGTGATTTAAATATGTAAGGCTCTTTATATTTTTCTAGATGTCAAGGAAATATTTATTTAGAAAATGCTAATTGGGACATGATGTTAAGTAGAGAATTATATAATCTTGTGATTCAGAGGATCTAAGTGTTCATGTTTTAATATATAGTCCCTTCATTTGTATTATTTTGTGACCAGTTATGGATGACTTTTCTTTTCTTCAAATTAGTGAATTTAAGCGATTATTTATCTGGAAATACATATTTGCTCTGATAAATTTATTTTGCTAACGACAGTCACTCGAATGTGTGCTGAATTTAAACCTGAATTATATTACTGTGATTCAGCAAATAACTGTTGATACATCAACACTTCAATAGCAATCGCAGACACGTCATTGGCCAAAGTTTAAAATATTTTCTGGACCTTTACTAAATTGTGTTCGGGACTTTAAATTACTAGGACTTGTGTCTGTAATTATTAGATAATTTTAGGAATTAACTCACAATACCCTAAGTTATTTTTTTTTTCGTTTTGACTTTGTATTCTAGGGAAATAAATTATTTGTTAAATTTTAAAAAACTCGTTGTCTTTTATTTGTTTGTGTTACCTATTTTAAAGGCATATACTCGTAAAATCATATAGATGTCCAATGCTTTTATATAGAGAAATTTCGATATGCAGATGTTTCAGTATTCATTGAAATATTTGATACATGATCACAACAATATATATTTATGATCATTTAAACACATTTCAAGGATGTGGTAGAAACATTCGATCAGTTTAAAATAAGTACAACAGGGTGATGATGATGGGATAACTTTAATTGTTGTTCAGTCTAACACATATAGGTGTGTGGTTAGATCTAGAATGATACAAAGCATTTTTGTCAAATAATTTTAATCAATACACTATCACTAGTCACATGCCTAATTCTGAAGCCAACAATGTACAATGCTGTTTAGACTGGTGAACGAATAACCAAAGGTTAGGTAATTGGGAAATCTGTTATCTGTTATCCAAGAGTGCCCCAATTATGAATTGGGGCACTCTTGGATAAGGAGGATTAGTGGAATTGAACAGATTAAATGAACCGTCTAACCAATGACAGCCAGCAAAAAATATGATTATACCGAAAGGAATGATGTTTCAAACTCTGGTCCATCTTCATCATAATGCTGTTGACGAGATAAGTGAATAAATATAACAGGGAAAGCATATGTCTATATAGATAAAAAACAATGGTTACTAAATTTTATCAAAAATCACTACATTTGAATAAGGGAATTGCAGCGTTCCATATGCAATAAATTACCAATAATATTGCCATTTTATTAAATGTGTAATTATTCATAAATCATGGTAGAGAAAAAAGGAAAAAATATGATTGAGAACTATCAAGTCTATTTCAGCCACATTCTAAAAGCCCGGGGAAAAAATGAAATAGAGAACAGAATCTGCCTCTCAAGATATTATTAGCATAGAGCGGAATGCAAGCTCTGCAAAAAATGGCATAAAATGAAATTAGGTGTGCAATACTCATATCCAAAGGAACATCACAATACTGATTTGAAGTTATTTTAAATATGGTCTGAGGAGGTTGACGTAGTACAGTTCCTACTACCCGATATAATTCCTTTAAAAATTCGGTCATTTCATTGTAGATCATTATTATGGATGGGACGATAGAGTAATATTTCTATCATTTCTTTTCAAAATCTAAGCTTTGTTGTTTCTTTAATTTGCTATACAAATATTTTTATTTATTCGTCTGTATGGGTCGGTTAAATTTGAAACGTTTCGATTGTTATTGCTGTATTGACAACTAGTTTTATATTTGTTCGTATGCCTTATTCCTGGTCCTAGGTAAATATCATTCCGAAAATTTACTTCTGATCGGCAATTGAATGTTTTAATCTTTTAAGTTTGTCAGTCATATTCATTGTCAGTTTTATGCGCATCATTTTAATTATTATTACCATCTACTCCCTGCATACATATTCTTCTTAAGCTCCATCTTTCTTCCGAGATGAAAATAAACATTTTATATGTGACATTTACTAATTTAATCGTTTGTGTCGGTTCAAAATGTCCTATACTATAGGTAAACGTGCTAATGTAATACCTGTTCCTGTCTTACCTGTTGCACTAGATATGATGCATCTAGTATTTGTCTAGTGGAAATAATTATTTATTTATATCTATCAGATAAATCAAACTAAACACATATAATGACGTGACCACCATTGAAGTAATCACTAACTTCTTAATAGTTTATGTCTGGGTCTTGGCATTTCATGTTTGCTTTATACTTGATTGCAAGATTTGTGTGGGGCTCCGAGTGGCCGTGTGGTCTAAAGCGCTGTCCGTTACGGATTACTGACATCTCACCGCTGTCTGCGTGTGATAGAGTCGAAGATTCGGCGAATTTGAATATGTGAGAAAGCTTGCCAGTAGCTTCTCGTGGGTCGGTGGTTCTTTCCGGTGATTTCCCGGTTACCTTTCTCCGCCATTAATACTGGCCGCCATGTATAGCCTATCGTGTGATGAAAAATGGCACCACAACAACAACAGCAAGATTTGTAATAACAGTGTTTTGGAACTCGGTTATATATACCTTTTCCACATATTCAAGATGCCAAAGAATCCATTTCTATCTCACAAACTTAAAGTTCGAAGCACTAATCACAGCTTGCAAGATCACAATACAACGATCTTAAGTTCAATTCTTGAGATCATTATTAGCTATCGTTGGAGGTCGCTACATATCCTTTTAATTGTTTGAATTGCAAAGCAAATAAAAAATTATGGTAACATCTGAATTTGTTTAAAACCATGAAATTAATTTTTGAGAAAAGACGGAGGAATAAACCTTCAACAAGAACAAGGTTCCGAGCATGTCTAGGGGACGCAAGAAAATCAAATGGAACAGAAGTATACGTGAAAGAAATGCAATAAATCCAAACAGTAATATCATTCATTTTGGCAACGTGTTTATTTGACATACAAATGAATGAATTTGTGTCTAGAACTATCAATATTCTCTTTTATCGTGCGTGCTAGAACTTAACGGATTCTATCATTAAAAATGTGCACATTATGATCTAACACGACATCGTTGGATACGACCATAATAATATACCATAACATTATTTAAATTTTATTAGTTGTTATAAACGTATATACTAATGTAATATCTTATTTTCAGTGAATCTAATCATATCTTTCATCCGTGAATGGAAAATTCTTTAGAAAGCATAGAGAAATCAAACATGAGATGAGTAAAGGTTGAGATAGCCATTATTGAATTTGGAAATATAATTACGTCTTATTAATTATTGATAAGTTTTACTTCATGTTGCAATGCGAAAAATCACTCATGAAACTATAAAAAAATATGTGAGGCAGACGTGTTGTATTGTTTTGAAGATAAATGGCAAGAGAAATACACGGTCACAAACAGGGAAACAAATACAGAATTACAATAAACGGAGATAGGTATTTTGATGGAGAGGGAGGCACGATACAGATTATAACAAAGGAAAGATGGGAATGAATATTACAGACACTGGTCAGTATTACGATGATCAACCTACTGCTGTCCTCTGGCTAAGAATAAAAATGCATCAGGTGGAAAACACGGCAAATATCGTAGACAAAAGAGATAAAACGTGGTACATGATTGAATGGTTTTTATTACAAAAGAAAGCATACTATATTATCTCAAGACGGTTTCTATTCAATACATGATGACATCTAGACGGATTAAAACAAATCAAAAGTTACTTATGTAGACATGGAATAACCACTATATTTTGGAATAAAAGGAGAGAAAATCATTACCAAACACATCTTCGATTACTTGGCAAACATTAAGGGCAAAAGTCGATCTTGTTTCAAAACTTATATCATTGATAAATGCAGCCTATCACTAACATAATATTACATTGACTGAGAGATTGTATGTAACAAAATGTGTTTGGAGGAGATCTCATACGTGTTCACTTAGTTGATTATTGAGACTTATGAGAAGACTCAAATCTAACTTTTAATGATGCACAATGAAAGTCGTTGATAACGAAGCTAAATGAATCTACGCTATCTGTCCTACACGAACAGATGTTATTCAAATAATGTACCCGTTAAAGTATGATAAGAGGTTTATTAACTATTGTTATTTAAGTACAAGTGTCCTGTATAAGGCATACATTGTTGCACAGATCAGGTGCGTATTTATAGTGACAGTTGCCATGGATGTTGTGACTGTTTTATTTTTCGTGATAAAACCAATTTTTGGTGTGATATTTGTGTCAGAAGTGATAGAGATAATATCTAGGTAAGGAAACTATCAATGGCACAACGGTACACATATGTAAACTGTGCAGAAAAGCTAGGTATCGGAAATGATTCAGACAATAACCAAGTCTATAACACCAAAGAGGGA